AGAGTGCTCCAACAGAGGATGATAGACGTGACTCGCGTAATGAAACACGACGTAGGAAAGAAATATGCTGTACAGTTTTAGTATTTTAACACTTGACATTTGTCAGTATATATGATAAATATATATTTTAGTTATTTTAGTATGTAAAGACAAGGCATGCAATGAATTAGTTTGTCGTGGATTGGATCAGCACCTGAAGATGGCACATTGGTGCCGAAACATGTAGTGAGAGTGAAAGGAGGGGATAAATAAATGTATGCACTAGAAGACGGATAAAATAAATCATGGACTTAAATCAGTGCAACAGGACGCTAAAATATAACATTAGTCATGTCCTGTTAGTGGTGGTTGGTGGTTGGAGTAGCATGGTTGTATTTGATACTTCTACATAACTGTTTAGACTTGTCCATTGCCATTATGTTAATGATTTTGGTATATTGTTCACATTTACCTACAGTATGTCAAGGAAATATGGTGTAGTGTTTAAAAATCAGATACAGTAACATCATTAAAGCAGCAGTAGCCAGCTGATAATCAGTCGGTGGCACTTATAAAGTGCAGGTGTTCATTAGCAAACTGTGAACATGATGAAATGTTCACATATAGAATATATGTTATGTAGGCAGTAGGAGTGGAAGAACTTTCCACACTAGCGTATATATGGTACCCATTGTAACAAACTCGATTATGTTATGGGATAAATGAATGCTTTCAACTAATGTGCAGTTATTATAAGAAGTTCCAAAGAACAGTCTTTGTTGGCAGGGATCTTAAAAGCATTTTTAAGGAGAGGATTTATGTAATTAGCGTTTCTACAATTTTTGGAAGTTGAATTATTTGAACAGATGTGCTTTAAATGTGTGCGTGAGTTATGATACTTTCATTGAAGACTAATTTTTCCAAATAATAATTGATTTACTTCTTTTGGCTTATTTTGGACTTCACCCATCGTCTGGTATATAAAAAAGACAAAAAAAAACCACAACGTTTCGGAGACTGGATCTGTCTCCGTCTTCAGGTGTATAGGGAAGGTTTAACCTACTCAGTTGGGCCCCTTAGAAAGAGCTAGTCTCAAGGTTAAACCTTCCCTATACACCTGAAGACGGAGACAGATCCAGTCTCCGAAATGTTGTGGTTTTTTTTTGTCTTTTTTATATACCGGACGATGGGTGAAGTCCAAAATAAGCCAAAAGAAGTACAGTATACACCATCGTCAGAATCCTTTCAAATAATTGATTTGATGAAAGAATCACATTTTTGTAAGTTCCATTCTCTCCCATACCAATAAACTTCATATGATCTACTGATGGGCCATGGTTAGCAGCAATAGTAGGGAAATGAAAGAAAACTGTTCTATGTTTTCTCATTTTCTTGTGCCATCTGTGGTACTGTAAGAGTTTCCTCATGGGTGGCACTAGTGCTCATTGATTAAATATTCTGTTTTTGAAATGAGATATGTTACAGTGAAACCTCACTAGTGCAGATATCATAATTTGAACTTGTCTTTTGTGCATTATGACCTTGATTATCACATTGCTGCTGTCAGCGATTGCAGACTGCTGCATGTAGTGCTGGCATAGATGATGGTAGGCACACGTAAGCATCACATGAAACTCCAAGGGCACTTTAAAAGAGATTTAAAGTAAAAGCATTCTAGATCTAGAAAACACAGTCTCAATAATACTAAATAATCCTAAGTAGTTTATTTTACAATATGCAATCTAAATTTCAAAATAAAATTGTATTACCTAAAATGGCTCGTGAAGTCCATTTTATAATTTCCTTGAACACTCACTCATTTGAGGTTAGCATGACTAATGATAATGGTTTGTGGATTAGACAGGATTAGTAGGATTTATTGGCACATCTTTACAGTTACAACCAATTATTACAGCTCGCAGTCAGTCTTCAGTCTAACCCTTCTTCCTTGACCACTGAGGACTCTCTTCATTCTCCTTCTCATTCTATGACTGACTGCAAACGACCTTCGTGGTCCTCTAATAACCTTCGGCACAGACCACGCACAGAAAACACATTGAGCACACTGTATCCTAGCAATTCCTCTCTTGTTTTGGAGGTGTGTTTATGTTTGCCATTGCATGGAAACAGCAATTCTTCTAAATTTGATTTGTTTCATTCTGGTCCGTCACACTAACAATTACAAAGGCAAAAATAATACCGTCTAATGTGACTGTTTAAGTTTTATCACTGAGGATTTATCTCCCTTACATGTTTTGATACCCTCTGAGGATGATCCGTAAGGATCGAAACATGTAAGGGAGGTAAATCCTCAGTGATACAACTTAAATAATCACATTAGACAGTATTATTTTTGCCTTTGTTTAGCAATTCTTCTATTGTTGCCTGTGTATTCATTGCCGCGAGAATGTGTTTAGCAACCCGTTGCCCAGCAATGGATATAAATGTCACATTGCTTTCTCCTTAAGGCTCTTCATCCTGAATGACCTGTCAATGTGTCACCGTTCCTTTTTTTTTTCCAAGCTTTCTGCTCGTGACATCTTGTGTGACTACTTAGTTTTTCATGTGGTGACTTCGCTTCAACCTCTACCACTGCTGCCTCCTTAAAGGTGCTTGTCCCTAGTGGCTCCCTGATAAGGTTCTGGTCAATCCAGGTGCCTCACCATCCAGCAGTTTTTCTTTTCCAATATTCAGGCCAAAACCATACCAAGTGGCCAGGGTTCCCACCTTTCCAGCTCCTCTTACACTAAAGCTGCAAGGAGGTTCTTCCATTTTTGATGCGGTCAACCCCTCCACAAGGTCCAAACCTTGATTATCCGCAACCCAACAGTAGATCTGGCAATTCTCTTCACGATCTCCAGTCCAGTGATTTTCCTGTAGAGCTTGGTGAATTCCCTCTGACTTTGTAGGTGCTGTTTCAGGTCTCAGTTCCTTATCCGATTTTTGTGTTCCAGCCTCCTTCAAAATATCCATCTTTCCAAGGTTCCACATACCATGGTGTCTCTGGTCCAGTTTTTCCCAATGACATTTCCCTTGTGCCATCTCTCTTTTTCACAGTGGGTCATCCCACTGCGAGCAGAGCCCGGTTTCCTTTGGGACCGATCCTTTGGCTTGTGGCAGCATTCTGCAGCTAGATTCTGGCCCCTGTTTCCACTGCATCAAATTTGTTGCAGAACTCCTGATACATTACCCCAGGCTCTTTCTCTTCTGCGTTTGCCTCCAAATCCCTGGTCTTCCTCACTTTTCAGCTGGCCTTCATCTCTTCTCTCCATGCATTCATATTGGCTTCCATCCTTTCCTGATTGGTGTCTAACTTGGCCATCCTCTCCTCGTGGACAGCATCCATTACTTCTTTAATGGCATTAAGGAGTTCCCTGTTTTCCATTTTTGTAGTGTGGCACTCTTAACTACACAGTTCAGTCTACTCCAGTGCAGGTTCCAAGTCATTTCCAGTTATCATGAGTTAATGGCTGCGTGACTAATGGTGTGGTGGTATAACTTTTTCTGTCCAATAATTTGATCCAATTGATCAAATCCGACCTCTTCTGACACCAAAATGTCATGTGTAAGGGGTTGCATGATGAATAATAATGGGTTCGTTGTCCCCTATAAACCTTTGGCATGGACCATACATAGAAAACACATTGAGGACACCGTATCCTAGCAATTCCTCTATTGTTATAAAGGTATGTTTATGTTGCCATTCCATAGAAATGGCAGTTCTTCTGTTATTGCGTGTGTATTTGTTGGCACGAGAATGTGTTTAGAAACCCATTGCCTAGCAGTGGATATAAAAATTACAATATTTTCAGTAGCGTTTGTCTAATACGGTCACTAATTTGAACAAGGGTTTGCTCCCAATTGAATTAATGAGGTCTTACTGGAATTAAGTTTTGAGTCCAAGCAGATTTAATTGCGTGATATTTATCAAGCCACAAATTAGTGATTTAGATGTGTGTTCTGATTCTTTTTTCTTTCTCTCTCTTGACTAGATATTGACAACTGATGCTCAGAAGCGCAAGCCAGAGGAAAGTACCGGAGATGATAGTGATGCAAAGAAGGCTAAATTGGATCTGTCAGTAGATGAACGAGTGTTGATGGTTACCATTCCTTACCATAACATTCCATATGAAGAACAGGTAAGAACTATGTGAGATGAATTAAACAGAGCAGTCCATCAGTCACTTAACTAGATGAAGCAGAATCTTTGAGAGCATAAAGTCATTCATCTACTTCAGAAATTTCTCTTCTTAGGAACCCCTAGGTTTACTACCATTATGATACACATCTTCGTGCTATTAATTTTTAAATTTCATGTTTCCAATTTTATGAGAAAGTTAAATAGTTCTGTCCAGTGTAACTGGTAAAGATTTTCTTATTTCAATTATTCATGCCCTTACATGTTTTGGTCTTCAGGGACCATCTTCAGAGGAACGCCTTTACATCAATACTGTTACAAGCCCCTATTACAGTATTAGTGTGACGGACCAGAATGAAAAAAATCAAATTCCAGATTTAGGTTTAAATATATTTTTTTGTTAATTCTATATGCATTTTGTGCTTCAGTTTATTATAATTCTTCATTATTAATCCTTTGACTTTCTTGCACATGGGTAGCTCTATCCATTGGCTGCTCTCTGTGCTATAAGGTTTAGAAACATGTGATCCAACTCTTTCTAGGCTCTTACATCAAGTGACATTCTTGTTATTAAACTTTCTTGAACCAAATTTAAATTCTTACCATAAGAGCTCATGGTCCTGATTGAATGATGACATTTAATTAAAATATGATCCTATACAAAAAAATATAAATTACTCCAAAATTATCAATATTATTATGAAATAAATAGTATAGCAAAGAAAACATAGATGATGGCACTGTAAAAATTTTTTTTCTGTAATTTGTTATATGCCAGAGACTTCTGTATGAACCTATAATAGGTTCATGTACGAGTCTCTGGCATGTAATAAATTATAGAACCTCAGTGTAAAGTGGCTGTGAAGACATCTTCAGTACCTGCAATTGACATTTGTTTAATTTTGTAAACCGTGTAATTATGTATACAGCATTTATGCAGCGGTGAAAATGCATAAAACTGAAGGGTACATTTCAGACTGGTAGAGCAGCTAAAAGTGGTGCTTATTCCATTTGCATCCTATTACATATTACTGATATGATTCCATAATGTATGAAGAAAATTGTTCCTAAGTGATGATCAGCATCCCCATTTCCATAGAAAGATATGTAATCATCCGCTGGTTCACGACAACCCTTATCCAATTAACCCTCTTGTACTTCCACTAAATGTAAGTTCTTCAGTTGTTTCAGCATTGATGTAGATCTTCTAGCAACCAAGCTTTTCCATCTCTCTTTCTCCTCTCGCTCACTTTGTTCCAGTTTTTTTCCTTCCTTCTCTTAAGATGAAATTTATCTTCAAATGTTTCCCTTCCCCCCCCATTTCTTTTCCTCCTCTGGTTTCTTCTTATGTACTTAAAAATCTCATCCCTATTGCTGCTTTCCTTGGCCCATGCTTGTATTTCTGCTCCATATGTTCATTTGGCCATGTAGTAACTTTTTAAATAGATATATTTTCCCTTTGGCATATTGCATTTTCAGGGTATAATTATAGGTAACAGATATTTCATTACTTCCGTAAGTCTTTTACTGTTCTGTATGTTACTGTTTTATGTTCTAAGTGCTTAAATTATTCCATTCTCTTTATTTCATGATTATTACATTACCTTTTCTTCATTTCTTGCCTTTCAGCCAATTTTCATAAACATAGATTTATGTAAATTAACATTTGATCAGAACTCTTTTATATGCTATGAAATTACTAATAAGTATTTTTCTGAAGTGCCTTTGTTCACTTGTAATTCCAATACACTTGATAATTCCCCTGCTGCTGTTTTCAGTTAATCTACCTGTAGAGATTCCTGACAATCCAAATTACAAATCTCATGACCATTTTCCATTACTTAGGCCAGTCAAAGTCCAAGAATTTGGCAATGTGTTATTCTTGTCTGGTGAGGAGTTTTTGCCTAGTCTCCAAGGTCAAGGCTCACACTCTGTTTGCTTCCTCTGACTGGTTATTCAGTATATTTTCAACTGCCCTCCACAGTAACCTCACAGCCTTAAAAGTAGCTAATGCCATTCAGAACGTTGGATGCCCCACAGGCATCCAGGTATTCAGTGTGTGAATCAGTTAAATTTCTAATTGTTTTGACACTTGTAATGGTGGTTTTGTTATGGTGATGGTGAGGATGATTATGATGACAGACACATTTCATGTCCAGTTGAAGAAGAAGACTGAAGAGTTAAAGACGATGGTGTCTCGGTTGGGAGATTTGGTAGTACGTCGCAATCCGGAACTAGCTGGATGGGCTGAACAGCAGCGTGAGAAATATGATGGTTTGGCATTCCAACTGGACGAGATTAGACCTTCACCTATTGTTGATGCATATCGTAATAAATGTGAATTCAGAGTTGGTAAGCAAGCTTCATGTCTAATGTAGATTAAGATATTTGAGGATATATTTCCAACAGCCCTTAGAATTAAAGAGAGGTTTTCAGTGGGCATTCCCTCAAGTTATTGTAATGTTATTTCCGAAGTTACTGAAGTTATTATATATTGTACATTACTGAAGAGCTTAGCTCCTATCATGCTGTAGATAATGTACGTGTTCACTGGAAAGTGAGTACAGCCACATTTGATAAAGAGGCAGAATAGTTTTGTTTGAAGACGCATGCTTGTTTTAGTATGTTAGCCTTTTCAAAAGTACCCTGTTATGGGTGAGAGGTGTTAATTTGAACTTGAGCACAATCTAATGCTATAAACTTGTTCATAGATTTGAGCTCTTTCATGTGGCCTTCAAATTATGCATGAAGAAGGTAATTTTTCAGTCATTATCTACTTGTGCTTTATAATATTTATCTAAGCACAGAGTGGTAATGTTGTGTCCTTAATGATTTCAATGTTGTTCTGTATTTATTGATTCTCCTGATTTACCCAAGTCCGGTCTAGCCAAGTTGTCGGCTGAGCCGCTTGCTCGGTAGCTGATAACTGTAGTTTTATCCTACGTGGTTGCTTACACTGTCACGGTCTAGGACTAAACCCTGACACACAAGAGCGCACAGTGGGTTGCCGTCTGGAGAACTACAAGGATGGCTCTATTGGGGTTGGACCGGCAGATTCTCTAAAACATTTGCCTGATCAAATGAGAGAGGCTGTGAAGGTAGGCAATTATCGAGAACCACAGCCGTGATTCCGTTATTTTGAGACGTTGCACGGTGACGGACTCATTTTATAACTTAAAAGTGGAGGACTGTTTTTATTTGTTCTCTGTTTGCAATGTTAGTATTGCTCTTAGTCACTAAATTGGGTGAAAGCTCTAAGCCAGTATTGCTGTCCAGATCCATGCATTGGAATGATCACAGCTTGATATTAGCTTATTGTTTTGGACTGGCTTAAAAGCATGCAACCAGCCCAGACAAGACAGTTCTTAAAATTGTTCTGCTTCCCTGTAGTCTGAATTAATAGGCCCTATTCTAGTTACAACCCCAATAATACTTTAGTATTCAGGTGGTGTTTGTTAATGTATAAATTTTATAATTTATACCATTGCAAATGATTCACTGCGAAGTGTGACTTATAAAATATATGATTCTAGCAACAGAGAAGAGTATTAATAATATACATGTTCATTTAATTGTACCATATTGGCCCAAGTGCAGGCACTCCCAGAAACTGAACTATTTGAAAGTGGGAAAAGTAACATGTAAAAAGATAAATTTGTTATTGTGCCTAAGCACAGTGCCATGAAGGTATGTAAGCATAGTGGAGGAAAAGTTTCATGCATGCTTAATTTCAATAGTGAATGGAGGTGAGTGGTCAGCTTTGCATCATAGCTCTTTTTAACCTTAGAAAAAGAACTGAATGTGCCAATCAGACAGGAGGCTGAGTGGTTTGATGGTTGGGAATCTCACCGTTCCTTACTTACTCACTCACTCACTCACTCACTCACTCATGGAGCTGAGCCCTTCTGGAGGAGCCATCAATTCTGCAGCTACCCAAGAATTTCCCAACATTTTATGGAACCCGAAGGTTCATTACCGTCTTCATAAGAGTCCTCCACTGGTCCCTATCCTGAGCCAGAGCAATCCAATCCATACCATCCTATCCAATATCTCTAACNGGAGAAGTTAAAATTCTTGACCCTACCGGGACTCGAACTCCGACCCTTCACAGTCGTCCAGCCCGTATAATAAAATTTGGCTTAACCGGGTTTTCGATTAACCGTGACTTCCATCCCCACCATTAGCCCGGATAATCGAGAGTTGACTGTACTTAGAGAAGAGTACAAGTTATGAAGCTCCTCATTGTGCAGTTTTCTCCAACCTGCTGTCACTTCATCTCGTTAGGTGGGCCCCTTGTCACCACGGCATGGCGCGTCCTCAGGTTGTGGGTGGAGAAGATGCCCTCCAGATTTGGAGGGAAGCTGCGAATATATTGAATAAGCAGTCACAGACAGCTTGCGGGTTGGGCGTGCGGCTAAAAACTCCTCACCACAAAAAATAAATATGTTACGAAAATGAACACAAAGCTTTGGACCTGGACGGATTCCTTGGATAAACGACCTAAGCTAAAGAAAATGGATATGAGATTTGGCACTTGGAATATTCGAAATTTGTATTGGGCAGGTTCACTCAGGGCAGTGGCAGAAGAAATCTTAAGAAATCATCTAGTACCTAGTACTACAAAATTAGTGACCTCTGTTTTACAACACACATGTCTTCACATTGGTGTTGTGAATTAGGAAGGGGAATGCAGCCTTTGCTTGGGCCAGTACATCTGTTTATTTAGAGGAAAATGTTTGTAACCATTTTCTTAGATGTTTAGTATCTGTTCTTATTTGTTTATGAGATTTTCTTGGATTTTACTGATTTTTTTTTTCCAAATATATCTTGCATAAAATGAAATTAGATTAGCAATATTGTTTAAGGAAAACAAAATATTGATCTGTTTTAAGTTGCGTTGTGTTAATCTGATCATGTGATGACCTACACAGCTCTTTCAAGATTATGTGCGTAAATCAGACAAGCCACCCTTCACAGCAGAGAAGGGTGAAGGGTACTGGAGACACCTGGTGGTGCGTATGACATCCAGTAATGAGTTGATGGTTGTGGTGGTGGCTCACCCCCAGTCTCTCACTGAAGATGAACTGATGAGACTGAAAAATGATCTGAAGGATTACTTTGTTAAAGGAGATGGAAAGGCTTGCAATATTTCATCCCTGTATTTCCAGCAGTTTACTGAAAAGTAGGTATAGATGTTAGAAAGTAATTAAGAATATAATTTCTAATTGAAATCTCCAGTGATGCTTCCACCAGGATGGATAAAGTAATGACAAAGCTTTCTCTCCTTCTTTAAGTACTCTAATTTCTTTGCCCACTCTTTGTCTGTTCTTATTTATAGTGTCTAGTTGTTACATACCATATTTTACAGGGCTGTTTCTGTACATCAAAACTAAGTAAGAAAAGTTCATATTAGTGTGTACCCTGAGGGTCTTTCTTAAAAGGTTCATGTTCACAAGAACCTGCCACTGGCCCTGAGGCCGTATAAGAAGAATCCAGGGAACATCGTACCACCTTATACCTTAAGGATCAATTTTAATATTATCCTCTCATCTACACCTAGTTCATTCTGGTGGTATCATCACCTAAGTTTTTCTGACCAGCGTGGTGTATTTGTGTGTATTGTTTAGTCGAACACAGCACACTATACAAGCCGCATCCAATCACTACATACACTATATGAAAACGGGGGTTGTTCGGTCAATATCCAGAGAATTGATATGTGAAGACTCCACGCGCACGCGCGCACACACACACACACACACACACACACACCCACACCCTACTAAGGTGAATATATATGTATATGTAAAGTAATGTTAAAAAATCTTTTCAGACATTTTTAATACATTAACAGCTGTGTGCTTTAACATTAAGGTGTAGGATAGCTTTCATTTTTACTGTAATTTTGAATGTAATTAACTTCACGGTTTGGGGGTGGGTAGAATTAATTGACAGTTGACCTTTATAAGTGCAAAGTACAAAGACAAAACATCTCCGTCCGGTGTGACTATTGAAGTTCTTACTACTTGAAAACTTAGCACCCTTAAATGTTTCGGTCCCTATAGACCATCATCAGAGGTACATTAATACTTTTTTGGAAACTACTATCACAATGGGTGTTTTGAGTGTTAAAATACATATATATATTGTAACGTGTCGGGAATCCAGAAGAGTCACTTCTATGGAAACGCTAGAACAGACCGTTGCATAGGAAGTTACAATAGCGGCACTGTAACCCCAACAGTGAGCCGTTGTGTAGAGAACATCAATCTCCACGGTTACGACGAATACGCGAAGCGTTCCCACAGAGACAACGCAATAACAGTGGGTCATTGCGTAGGAATCGCGGAACCAACAAAGCAACGTTTCCACTGCTATAACAGAGGGTTAATTTGCCTAGCAGCGGCCGAGGGGATAAATAGCCCAGCTTCGGCGAGAAGCAGTCAGTCTTTACCCAGCCGTCGAAGAAGAGAGTCTTGGAACATCCGCTGCAGAAGACAGTCCAGTATCGCCGAGAAATTGTGTAGGCTAACAATTGTAAAGCGTGTGATTGTGTAAGCCTGAAGAACAATAAAGTTTCTACGGAATTTGAGGCCTACATGAGTTTATTTGTAGCGTGACATACACAAGACACGCTACAATATATACAATGTTCGTAATGCACAATATATACAAAATCCAACTTTTCCACAACTACGGCAGCTTTCTTGGTATATTAAAGTATTTAAGTTTTTAAAACATTTGTTATTTAAGTTAAAATTTATAAACCAAATAGGTCCGTGTCCATTCTCCTATTATCTTTCTTGACGGGGGCTGAAATTGTGCCTTCTGTCTCTCTTGAGAAGGAGATTCTTGGTATCATCTTGTGTTTGTTCGTGGCATGCTGTGTTGTTTTCACTGTACTTCCTCATGTGTTGAGCACCTTCTGGTCTCTTAAGACTGAAACATGAAGTTCTTTATGCAATTAAATCAAATTGGTTGCACTCAGTGGTAGTGTTTGCTTGTGTCAAATGGTGTAACAGTTCAAAATGCCTTCAATTAAAAGAGACAGTTTCTCTGTTCTGTGTCATTTCGTGTTTAGTATAAAGTCATTTTGAATTTAGTTCTTCAAAATCTTGCCCCAAGATCTGGGTCCATCGTGCCCCTTTGTGAGGAACAAATAGCACCAGCGAGGCCTTGCTGATTTGAACTGGTCATGCTGTTAACATTGCAGACCTGGCTGACAACAGTATTTTCCGTATCACAAAATATGAACTTGTGTAAATTTTTATTTCATTTTTTTTTTATTTATTTTTGACACTGTCTGTGTCTAGACTCTGTAGCATAAAATGGTAGGATGGCTGATGAATTGGATAGGATTCAGATGGAAGCATTACTTGTTTGAGGTACTATCCAGGCATTTGCCTGGAGGGACTGAGGAACCCTATGAAAACCCTTAGTCAAACATGTCGGTGGCACAGCTAAGATTGAAACTGAGTACCTCCCAAGTACAAGTCAAGAGTGTTGCTGCTGCAGAAATCAGCTTTTTGACCTCTTTCTTGCTACTGATGGGCTGAGAAGTGATGGCATTCTCAAGGGGACTGTCTGGCAGTGGCTCACCAAGGCAGATGATTAGGACGTGTCACCAATTTGCAAAGTCTGGAGGAGCTGCAGTGTATTTTCTCTGATTTATTTTATGTTGTCAATATCTCAGAAACTGTCTAGTGTTAAGTGATAGGTTGATTGGTGAATAATGGATTTAAAACATTTAGAAGGAAACCTTCATGGCCTAATTGAAGTATGAGGCATGTCCATAAAATAAATTCTGTTTGCAAATATTACTGCTGCAGTGACAATAGTGTGCATGCTTGCAAAGTTTATTGGTCCTCTGGGAAGGCACAGACACCATTTGCAGACATTTGACTCACATTTACACATCCTGTGTATTTACAATGTTCAGGAAAATTGAAAACCCTGCCGCATGTGAAATGTGGTCTGTAATCCGTTTCTTGAAAGGAAGAAACATGAAACCAGCTGATATTCATCATCAGATTTGTGAGGTTTATAGAGAACATGGCATGAGTGATTCAGTGGTATGGAGATGGCTGAGACATTTCAATGAAGGATGTGAAAATGTGCATGATGATCCGCAGAGCGGCCGACCATCTGTGGTTAATGAAGATTTAGTGCACGCAGTGGAAGAGAAGATTCAAGGGAACAGATAATTAACCATTTCATTACTTTCCTTGCATTTTCCACAAATTTCATGGTCACTTCTTCATGACATTCTGTCTGATAAACTTCATTTTTGGAAATTTTGTTCATGCTGGGTGCCAAAGATGCTTATGGAAGAACACAAAATGAAATGGCAGGCCAGTGTGTTGAACTTTTTGACATTATACAGTGAGCAGGCGATGACTTTTTGAGCCGTACAGTCAAGAGAGGTGGAGACAAGGGTGTTGCACGTAGCCCCTGAATTGCAGCAGCAGTCCATGGAGTGGAGGCACACATCATCACCAATAAAGAAAAAAATTGAAACTGACCATTTCAAGTTGAAAAATCATGTGCACAGTGTTTTGGGACAGGAAACGTGTTCTGCTTGTGGAATTCTTGCCTCAAGGCTCAACAATCAACACAGGTGTCTGTTGCGACACATATGAGAAATTGTGGCATGCATAGTCAGGGGGATGTGATGCATCATGACATTGCCTGCCCACACACTGCCACCGCAATGCAAGATCTCATGACGACATTTGGCTGGAAACAATTTTATCATCCCCCCTGCAGCCCAGTCTTAGCACAAAGTAATTTTCATGTGTTCCTGCATCTGAAAACTTTCCTTGGTGGCCGGCTGTTCCACGACAGCAAGGTCAACAAAGCCATTAACATGTTTGCATTGCAGGCAGCATCATTCTGCGATGCAGGATGCAGAGACTGGTGCCCTGCTGTGACAAGTGCCTAACAATGGTGGAAACTATGTTGAAAAGTAGTGTACAGAGTGTACAGTACAGAAATGGCAATATAAATGGTTTGGAGATAAATTTTTGTTTCTTCAGTAACTCATCATAACTTACTTTCTGGATACCCCTTGCAGGAATCTGCCTGGAAGGTCTGAGGGGAACCTCAGTCATGATAGCCAGTGTCTCAGCTCAAATTTGAACCCATCACAAATGCAAGTCTGGGGGGTCATTGTCTAATATGGAGGCATCACAGGAGGAGGTCACTTAAACTGTGATGAGTAGTGTGTAGCATATATGCAGAGTGGATACATGATGTCCAAGAGTGCCAGTTTTCCGAAAATGAAGGTGCAGAAGAAGATTGGCTTCAATCACGGAAGTAACATGGTAGAGACACTGGAACCGCATAATGAGGAACTGACCAAGGAAGATGTGATGAAGTTAGAGCAGCAAGGGGTACAGAAGGAGGAGGAAATGCTGCCCACTCTACTCGTAAAACAGCTGACAGTGAAAAAGATGTCTAATGGCCAGTTCATTCAAGAAGGTGGAGGCCATTTTTGTTGAAGATGGCCCAAATGGGGAACAGAGTGAGAGTGCAGTTGAGGATTGAGTGGTGTTTTTTGCTGCTATAATCAACTCTGCCCACAGTACAAACTAGGCGGTAAGTCGAAAAATGTGTCCCTGGAAACACGTGCCCTTAATAACAAGTTATATTCAGGAAAGAACACCAATGTAAATCAGAGACTTCCTGTATGTATGTATATGTGTGTGTGTGTGGGTGGGAAGGCAAAAGTTTTCTGAATTGACTAGTAATAAGCAGTCCATGAATTTAACTTACTGTAATAAAGTAAAAGTAAAGTAAAGCTATCCATGTAACAGGCAGTGAGGGCCCATAGGGTTGTGAGACGTTGAGGGTCCCACATTACCTTGACAGTCAGCTCAGAGATGACGGTAAGGTTGTCAGCCTTACGCACCAGCTGCGCTTTACTCCCCAGGAAAATCATTTAATTAATTCCTGGTACTCATTTCTGTTAGAGGCTGAGTAAACCCCAGGGCCTAGTTCGGCTGGAAGGATTAGGTCAATTGAAAAAAATCCAGTGACCTCATCGCGACTTGAACCCGCGACCTTCCGGCTTGTAACATAGTACCTTAACCACTACGCTACTGCGTACCCCTAACTTACTGTAATTTCTTCCTTAATTCAACTTTGATGTGTTACAGTCATTCCCAAGAATCTGAAATGCATCACGTTTTAAAAGAGTACGTTAACTGTGCCCCTAGCTACTACAATTTTGGCCTTCATTTTGCTGAAAAGATATAAATATATATACTAAATTTTCTATGTATTTGCTTCTAGACAAACCTCTTCACTGGTACATTGTAGAACACTTGTTTTTCGTATGGTATTTATGTTTTTGCTCAGTAAATTAACATAAACATAAAACTAAAGCTGATATATCAGAAATGTCAAAGAACCAGAGTACTTCATCCATAAAATGTCCAGGGCTCAGTGTTAGTAATCATTACAGAACTCAACTTTACCCTGCAGAGGACACAGCTACTCCGCTGTTGAGACCACACTCTTGCTGTGTAAAGCAGTGTTTATCTTATCGGTACACTTAACTTCCCAAAATGTGTTACAGAACCAATTTAACAGTTTTTATATGTGTGTATAAAGATCTGTTTCACTATAAGATAGTTCATTGTTGGTCTCTTCGCTTGCGAATTTTCTTAATTTTCCTTCTACCCTGAAGATGGAGGCGGTACGTTCCTCCGAAACGTCAATTAACACCACATCTAACGGTGCCACATCCCAGAATACTGCTTTCTTCATAGTCACCGCTGTGAAAAGCTCAAATCTTACATTTCATGTAGTATTGGATTTGATTGTCAAAGCAATGGCTATTTAGAGCTCAGTCACTGGACTACACTTTGTTGTATCCAAAAAGATAGAATTCTTCATTTCATTTACAGGTTCTGTTTTTTTTTTATCTTGAGTACATATTTATATACAGTAATTGATTTATTTGTAACGTTTTAGGCTTGTAGGTGTCCCTTTGCCTCAAATGGAACACTTGTATGGGAAAACTCACTTAGAAGAAGATCTGTTGGACTTAACATTCCAGCTGTCGCCCTCTTCTTATTTCCAAGTAAATACTAAAGGTGCTGAAGTATTGTATTCTGCCATCATTGATCTGGTAGAGCCAACTGAAGATACTACAGTGCTTGACCTTTGTTGTGGTACAGGCGGGATTGGTCTTTGTATAGCCAAGGTGAGTAACAAAGCACACAGATATATCTTACAGTCTACAATAACCATCATTTACATCTTTGGTACTTCATGATCAGTGTTCTTGATATTTTTCACAATTTTTACTGCTTGTTTTGTGGGCTCAAAGTGCGAGTATCTCATGCCTTGTGGCACTGGTTTCCAAGTGTGGTTTTCTAGAAAAATTGAAGTGATTGTACTTCTCAGGATGTCAGAAATTAATTTCATGCATTTGTAAAATTTTATAAATATTATTAATTGATAAAAATCTTAATTTTTTTGTTCTAAAAATGAAGAACTGAAAATGTTTTTCTTTATACACACAGAATTCAGAATAAGGTGTGATGAAATTTTGTTAAGCTGAGGGAGTACCATTATATAAAGTTTAGAAACTGTTGCCTGGAGGACGGTATATAAATTACAAGAGTATGAAACAAAAGTTCTCGGGGATAATATGTGAACCTAAGAGGGCTGAAATAAGTTGGTATATAGATCACTGTGGTTGCGGTGCAAGGGCCAAGAAGGCCTACCCCCTTATACATTCATTCATTCAAGTTGGTATTTTAATAAGTTGCATGAAGAATACCTTTGCGATTTAGGCAGATTAGTACCGTTAGGTGAATGAAATCTAGGTTAGTTACTGTCATAGCTTGGTTGGGGAAACAAGAAGTGCCTTTGGTGGAAAATTGAGAAGAATGCGTGAAAGGAATATGGCATGCTTAGGATCATATCCAGTGGTAGGCTTTTTACTACTGCCGCTAAAGAATTGCTGTATTTTCTTGCATCATATGTGCACTACTTTTTGACAGATTTGGAGACAATTAAATGTAATATTTTGGTCCCAAGCTTTAAGCCACTGATTTTGGGTTGAATAAATATGACATAAGTAAACAACCAGTCATGCATGTGCCTCTTTATGTTACTTCCCTCCCCAACCCACCTATTACAGGTGTTTGTAAAGGTTCTTGCACGTTGTTATTGCAGTGCTATTGTCTACAGTCATGACTTTCTTTTCTTTACATTGAAATAGCTTAGTGCTGCAGGAGAGATCATATGAACAACATTAACATTTCATTAATTGCAGGTAATTTGGTGTAATAAGTGCACAGATGATGTAAAATGTCACAGGTCATTCTGAACATCCACTTCATTCTCCTTTCTGACTAGCAGTGGCTGCTACTTCTTGATGCTATTAGCATGAGTTTGCCTTTCATTATTTTGCTTCGTCCCTTCCTCATCTTGACTTTAATTCCTCCCTTGGAAACAAGGGGCACTTCTCGGAAATAGGTGGAAGAGGAGAAGCTGCCATAAAAAGAATTGGAACAACAACTCACCATCAGAGGTCTTTGCATAAGAGACTCTTCCTTTATTAATAGGTGGTATCGGAAAGTTCCTGGAATATTATTTTTATAGCTTCCCCAGTGAAAGTAGATGAGAGGGGAGGCCAAGGTCACACTTCCACAAGCCTATTGCATCAGTCTACCACGTGACACCGCGCTGTGAACACGCATTCTTTTTACACGAGTGTTTTTTTGACTTTGTGTTTTGTGTTGTCTGCAATTTTATTTATTTTGTTTCTTATACAGCGTTTTCCAAATGAGTGTAGCTGACTCATTTCTGTCAGAGATCTTGCATTGACACATAAAGTAAAAAAGTAAAGATATCCCTGTAACAGGTCATGGAAGCCCATATTGTTGTGAGATGTTGAGGCTCCCACATTTTCTAGACAATCGGCTTATGCGCCAGCCACCCTTTACCCCTAGGAATATTCCTGGTACTCATTTCTGTTAGAGGCTGAGTCGACCCCAGGGCCATAGTGTGGCTGGAAGGATTAGATAAATTGAAAAAAATCCACTTCATCGGGATTTGATCCCGTGATCTTCCAGCTTGTAGCATAGTGCCTCAATCACCTACACTACCGCGTGCCCCCTGACACATAATGTTCCTTTTTATCTCTGAAAATGTTGGGGTTGATTTCGCTGCTTGATCTGTGGACGTAAAGTACAAGATTTGTGCTGTGGTGTTGTACGGTAGGTGTAGCTAAGCCATTGATGTACTACTGTCATGCAGCTTGGAGCTCAGGTCTCACCAGACTGCTGGTACCATTTTATTTGCTAACAATTGTTGCAGAAATATACTTTTATTTCAGTCCTTATTGAAATGTATCTTTCAGAAATAAGAAATCAGTGACACTGCATCCTTTGACATTAACTTCTATACATGCATTTTTTCCCCCCCAGAAATGTGGTCAGGTGTTTGGAGTAGAATATTTGGAACAGAATGTGGAAGATGCAAAAGTCAATGCTGCAAAAAATGAAATAACAAACTGTGAATTCATTGCTGGCCGTGTTGAAGATGTTCTTCCAACCTTGTCGGAGAAAATCACAGGAAAAAATGTTGTACCCATCTTGGATCCACCAAGAACAGGCTTGAGTATGTAATTTATAATTTATATCATAAAACATATCTTCTCTTTAAGTAATAAATCATTAATTACACATATACATTAAAATTAAACATCTGGAGGCAACAGTAAGGAATTCAAATATGGTTCATGATGAGTTTATAAACATTTTCCAGACAGTTGGCTCACAGATGGCAGTGAGATTATCAGCCTCACATGGCAGCCACCCTTTAACCTCAGGAAGATTCCTCGTACTCATTTCTGTAAGAGACTGGGTCAACCCCAGGGCCATAATACAGCTGGAAGGATTAGGTCAATTTAAAAATCCAGTGATCTCATCGAGAATTAAACTTGCGACCTTCCGTCTTGTAGCATGGTGACATCAAGCTCTGATATTTGCTTATAATGTTAATTTAATGGGAATAATAGATATCCTGTAGCAAAAAACAGAAGCTGTAACAGATACTAGTAAGAAGGTTGGTCTAGAAGTCAACATAGAGTGAACTAAGCAAATGTATGTTGATGTTACAAAATCATAACATGAAGGCAGCTAAGAGCACCATTGAGAAAGTGGAAAAGTTTAAATATTTTTGGAAATGGCAGTAACAAATCAAAACTTGATTGATGAGGAAATTAAGAGCAGATTAAATTTTGATTTTCTAAAATAGTAGTATTTTAGAAAACCTAACTCTTTCCTAGCCTAGTGCAGTAGAATGTAGTAAGATTATAACTTATAGTTTATTTTAATATCCATGACTCTTACATAGGCACAGTTGGACAAGTCGGTTGAAAACAGCCAAATACTACATGTCAACAACTCTTAAAAATGTACAAAACAGTATACAGTATACAATACAATCCATTTTTGATCACTATCCCTTTGCTGTACCTTGCCAAGCATGGATGACAACTCCAGCAATTTAGTATAAAGCAGTAAATATACTTAAACTACCAAAACAGTTGGCCACATAAAACAAAGCATTACATGTTTAGGGAAGGTAACAGTCCAAAAACCATCTATGTACTTCCGTATCATATCAAAACTAACATAAAGTACCAAACTACCATCTATCGTTGTTACTAAAAAAAACTCTTGTATAGAATAAATCCAGTTTTGTAGTAAACATTTAATTTATTTTTAAAAACCTTAAAATGTTCTGTTCTTTTTAATGTGAAAGGTAAGTTATGTATTTCTATTCCCATATTAATTACGCTATATTATATATCCTGCACTACAATTAATATACTAAAAATACTTTTTGAATTGTCTAAACAAACACCAATGGACCTTTTGGTAAATCATATGTGAATTCTTACAGTTGTACACAATATGGCTTTCTACTTTTCATAATTATTAATATTATACCCTAAATATGATTGAAGTTGGTAAGAGCATGTTATCTTATTCATTTGTTAATATAGACATATGGCATTTATGTTTTTTGTATTTCAGATCAAAAGGTTCTTTCACACCTGCGGAAGATGGACAGTGTTCAGAAATTGGTGTATGTATGCTCCAACCACAAGGCTCCCATCAGAAACTTTCTGGATCTGTGTTGTCCTGCTGGAAAAAGCACCATGACAGGTCACCCATTTGTTCCAGTTCGAACTGTGCCAGTGGATGTGGCCCCACATACCATGCATTCTCAGATGGTCATTCTGTTGGAAAGAGTGGATCCCAGCAAACTACCAAAAGCAAAAAATCCTATTCCACGTAGCACCTCCAGGAAAAATACCAGGGGCAGAACAGGAAGAGGAATGAAAGGAAGTAATATAATGGCCAGGGGGCGTGGAAATGTGGGCTCAAGAATGCGTAGTGGCATGCCAGTACCTGGGGTTATGCCACGAGGAATTAGGGGTGGAGCAAGAGGCAGAGGGATGGGTATGCCTATGTCTAACATGAGAGTCCCACCTCTCATGCCACAGCACATGGGATTTATGGGCCCACCTCAAATGGGACCTGCAGTAAGAGATTTCCCTCGGGCACCAGTCCGTTCTCGTGCAAGAGATGTATACATGGATGGGTATGGACCATCCCCTCTTGCGGAGAGGGAGTATTTTCCTCCAGTGATGGATCCATATGGACCTCGTCGTCCTCAGCGTTTGGATTTTTCATCAGATGAACTGACCTTGAGCCGATACTCTGATTTCCGTCGTGATGTGGAAGATGCAATAGATTCATCATTCTCCCCTCGCTCTCTAGGTATACGCCGATCTGCAGGTTCCCTGGGGATGGGGGATGGCTTACTGGTGGGCTCACCTGCTGCCACTGCTGCTGCCATGTTAGAGAGGGAGGAAATGGCTTACAGAGCAGGTCTTACACGTGGGCTTGTTGGTGCTGCAGCATTTGGGCCACCACCCAACCTGTATTCACAGTATGGATCCATGACAGGTGGAAGGTTGAAGGGACTGGGAGGAGCAAACAATAACAGAGGTGCCAAAAGGGGTGGAAACGTTGGGAGGGAAACATGGGGACGTAGAGGCCATAGTGGCCGCAGGTAATGGCAGTTGATTATTGATATATTTCTTGTGTTCCAGTGAACTTAGAAAAGCAGCCATTGCTACTTTCACTGTCTTCAATGTGTTGTGTATGTTCAATTTACTTACAGAATTTAAAGATTTCTCATCTTTATATTTTTATTTTCTATTTGACTATAGGAAGTAGTTGTATTAAACTTTGGTGTGGTGAATGTGTCTTGAAAGTTTAATATTCTGTCTTCATTATACTGACACTTTTTACCATGTGATATTGATTGGTATCAAGAATAAAATACTGGCACAGACTTCATATGGTGTATTGAGGCCCTTGTTATTTCTACCCATGCTGCAACTGTATTTACCTGGACCTTAAATATCGCCTATCAGGGTGTCATTTTATGACAGCCTTCTGCATCCTCTGCACTCCCATAAGTGTTCATCTTTTCGTACTGTTTTTTGTATATCCTCCTTCATTTGGTCCACCTTGTTCTTAATGTTTCCAGTGGCTTATTCAGCATTTTTCTGACACGCTAAAAGGATTGTTGTAATTTGTGTGTACCCTGTATTTGTACCAGTACGTGATTGTTTTGGTTTCAGATTGTATTACTGTTTCTGTTTTAACATTCCATTGAAACTGACCAAACTTAAGATGACTTGCTAATTGTATGAGCTTAAAAATGAAAATGAAAAATAGTTTAGTGGGGAGTGTGGCTTTGCCCAGATAGTTTTTGCTATATGGTTTTAAACATCAAGAGCATGTATGTGAAACTTTCTCTCCATCTTACGAGTATCATCCGGCATCATAACTCCTGTAATAATGTCCCTGCAGTCATAAAGGGAAAAATGGATGATAACCTACAGGGGAACGTTTCAGACTAGGATGGTGGGTCATCACAATCAATTCAAATTATTCACACACATATGGGATCAGACATTGTGATGGAGGACAGTCTCTGAAGGCAAGAAGTTCATAATAACATTCTCTTCATTGCATTAAATTATGACCGATTTTTCATGCTGGCATTTCAGTCTTGAATTCCTGTGGCCTTGGAGAATGTGCATTTTGTAATTCCCTTGGAATGCCCATTGGACACGGATCTTATCTCTTGTAATGTACAACAAGTGGGATCCGTCGCCTTCCTTGTCATGGCACAAGAGATCAATGGTAGTTGTTCTCTAACTCCTCTTTGTGTGCATCACACCCATTAACACAGACCTTGGAATGGTCAAGCTCCTTAATAATGGTCATTGCATTGCCTTTACAAATTTACAACATGGAGGATATTATATTGTACTTATGTGGTGGTCACTGCAAATAAAGTTATTTGTCTGGCAGTGTTGTTAGGCATTAGCTTGTCATATAAGTATGCATCTCTACTTCATCAATGTGTTTTACCCAGCAATGAGTAGTGTCCACAATTATACCACTATACTGTTTTTACTTGTCACCTGAAGCAGATCTAACCACACATGAGGTTTCATAATTTTTAATTAATGCTATAATGCTACCATCTGTTGCATGAGACTGGGACTACTCAGAACTTGCTGAATGTGTGGATCTGTATCAATGTAACTGTAACTTGAATATGGCAGTGACCTAAGGGAAAGAGAATTGGTGGTTATTCACACATAATACATGCAATGAAATCCCTGTCAGTAGTGGTTCCCTGTAAACTGAAAAAAATCTTCCAGTGTAGGAAATTTGATCAAGGCGGAACCACATCATAGAAACACAAGACTGACTGAAGAGAAGTCTGAAATCACTTAACACTAAACAGGGGCTCTCCTCTGTTCTCCCTTGTAACTTCTGTCTTCTTAATATGGTCTGACTTGGTTGTGATGTTGGTAATACCTGTTACCTACATTTTTAAGAATTTGTGATTAGACGTGGAACTGACTAATGTCTTTTAACTGGCTATCAAAAATAAACATTTTTTTTCCATCACCCTTACAATTTAAAGGTAAATTGTATAACAGTTTTTTAACATGTAGGTAATATTTCAGATTCAGTAATTACTTTTTTTCATCCTGGACATAGACCACTTATGTGTCAAACTGTGATTTCCTACAATCAGTGTGCTTTTCCTTGGTCTCAGGCAGATGTCTGATACAGGATTTGGAAATAGGCTATGATTGCTTCTTGCCATGTCCCTACCAACTCATCATACCATTTCATTTGATTTACTAATCTCTCTAGAGAAACAGTGTCTTTAAGTAGCATATAAATCAGTGAACCTGATTAATAATGTAGAAATTCGTGATAATGAACAGGACGTGTTACCGTAATAACCATTCACAGATGAGAATTGATAAGAGGGTAAAGCTATCCCTGTAACAGATTGTGGGGGCCCATAGGATTGTGAGATGTTGAGGCTCCCATATTCTTTAGACAGTCTGCTCACAGATGGCGGTGACGTCATATGCCTCGGAATGCTTCCCACGAATAGCGTCAATATGGGCATGCTGTTGTGGTTGGTACACATAAGTGATTAACTCTCAACAATGGAAATTAGATGTCGCTAGTGCATTTAGTAATACGAGCTTCTCTGATATTGCCCAGCACTAGCACTGATTTGCCGCTAAAATTTAGTAGTCAGAGCGAAAGGCAGATCGTGAAATTGTGGGGATGAAGTCGCGGACGTCGAGGAAGGTATGGTGTGGCAAATGTGTGGTTGGTGGGAAAGTTAACCTGAAAGCGAAAATGACAGCATCCAGATGAAACTGCCCACAGAGTTAAATATTTAAAACAGGAGCCTTCATGCGGTAGAATTTGTGGCAGTAATGCCATGGAACAACAGAATTGTAAACCTGCAGGAGCAGAACCAAACAGTAGTGTTACGGTGGATGCTGTCCATCCACGTTTGTTGGACAAATCAAAGGAGCCACGAAAGTCCAACTGCACGTCAGTATCAAGCAACGAAGTTGCATATTGTTTGCAATGTAATGAAGGTATAGGACATACAGTTACTGCATTAAGAAATCATTTTGGAAGCACCCCACATGAAAGCCAGCCTTGTGTGTATTGCCATGGGCAAGTGTACAGCTATATTTTCAGATCTGAGAAATATTTCCATGAGTGCATTTCAAAAGCTACGCATGCAGAAGAGTCAAGTGACGCAAGTGACAGTGATATGTCAAACTTGTCAGAACAAGAGGGTAGTGATGTCAGTGAGAAGCAGAGAATAACAGGCACAAACACAAGAGATGCTGAACCTGCAAGCTTGATTTGTGCGCCTGATACTGACTCGCACAGTGTTTCTGATATGCCCAGTGATGAAAGCACATAATACCTTCACGTTTACTTGCCATCTGTTAATCTGAAATACACAAATTTGTGTAAAAGGGCGGTGATTAGTACATAAAAATATAGCACCCGTCTTGAAAAGAACCTTCAGACAAAACAAAATGTAGGCTTTAGCCATTAACCATGGAATAGCTGTATCTAAAGTAGTGGGCCATTATCCAAAATGACATCTAATTACCCATAATAATGAATATAGTGGGTACCTGATAAAAATGTAAAGGCTGTAGTTTGTGAAAGTGACCATTACAGTGCATGACTTTTGCCTTATTTAGAGAATACCAAATGAAATTAGGGTTTTGCTGAAGTTGCGATATTTCCATTCCAAATTTTCGTTCCATCAGAGCATATTCATAGGTTTCTGAGTGTTAGAAATGGGCACACTACAGCCTGGTTGTAATACCATGATCTGTTTCCTAGTCATATAACATGAATCCATTCAAAACCCCAGAAAGTTTATATTATCCTTTCATTAAGGACTTCCAGTTAAAACCGTCTCGAGATGCATTTGTATGTGAAATTTCTTCTAGTATAAAGTATTTTTATTAAGTTATTATAATACTCTGACCATGATATTTTTTTTGTGCCTTTGAGATTTATTTGACTATGTTCAAACCTACAATATTGTTCTACATTTAACTTGCAATAGGTGAAACACAGGTGTACTCTGCAGCTTGATAAACCCAGTTGAAAGAGTACATTCATGCTTCCTTGTTCAGTATATCTCCTGCATAATGTGATAATTGTATAGTTTGTATATTGAAATTTGATATAATTTATATCCCCCAAATACATTAAGAATCTAAAAAAGAATACCAGTGATGTATGAGAAATACTTGTATTTTGTAGAATGAAGATACAAATCCAGTCATGGTTAATCTGTAAAATGCAGAGAATATGTTATATCTTAGAGCCTTTGTTTGGAGGCAAGACTGCAATTTTAAATAATCATTGGTGTTGTGCATGTGGTCTGTTCCTATGTTGCATTAATTTTTTTTTGTGTGTCATGCACTTGGTGCAAGACCAGCTGAAGACTGTGATTCTCATTGCATTTTCACTCCACCAGTCAGCAGCATATATTTATTGAGCCGTTATCTAGCAGTGGACAATTTCTGCTAGCTGTGTTCTGGCCCTTCAGCTGCCATGTCACAATGTTAGGAACCATACTAGAAGCTGTTACAACAAGGGATTCTGTATGGTTTATCAAGTAAAGTGGTCATTGTTGTTATTTTATTTTATTATGGGCCATAGTGGGTCATCACAGTGCCCCTTGATTCAATCATGAAATTGCTGTGTTTAATATTATATAACCTGTTATACACCAATTTTTCTAGTATTTTGGAGAAAACTGGCAAAACTGATATTGGCCTGTAATTACAAACTTCCTATCTTTCCTCTTTTTTATACAGTGGTCTTAGTTTAGCTATTTTCATCTTATCTGGGAAGACCCCCAATTTTAAAGAGTTCCTCTTCCTTTGGGTTACTGAACTTTCCCCAGCCTTGGTTACCAGCTTCTAACAACTGATCCACAGCAGTCCTCTAACCAGCTGCAGCTGCTAACTGGTCCTGGTTATAACACCTTCGCATGGACCACATAGAAAATGCATCTTCCATTATCGCTGTGATTTCTCATTGCCCTGAAAACGTGCATGTTTGCAGAGCAGTTTAATTAATGGCTGTTGCCTGGCAGTGGGTGTGCATGCCACAATATATACATGTACATAAAATACAGTGTTTAGTGTGGAATAATAAAATTCAGATGCTGTGAGAGTATTTTTAATTTTAATGTCCCAATGAAAGTTGGAGGTTCTTGGAAATTCGTTGCTGTTGTAATATTTTGAACTAATGTACAGATTACTGGTTGGTACTTCATCTTTCTTCATACAAAAATATGCAGTAGCCAAAATCGGTACGTATACAAAATCACAGTGAAATTTGCAAGCATGTATGCTTATTAAGATCATTCAGAAGAAAATGTATGAGGTGCCACAGTGTAGTGATTAATAACCCTGTGGTGTATTGCAGAGGTATGGAATTATATTGTGGAAGGAAGAGTCATTATCCAAAGGTTTCCTCAGTGCCTCCAGACATTATAAAATAGTACCTTAAAGTAGGTCTTGACTATTTCCTGTCACATCTTTGCCAGCCAAATTAAAAAAGTTCCTTTAAATAAATCAAGGATGAAAGATGAAAAAGAAACAAAATAGAACAATTTATTTATGTTCCAGAGATCACACATAGGTCTAAGCCAAGGTTGTAGAACATGTCAATACAAAGACAATGCAAAGAACCATTTATATATGTACAGACATCTCTTATAATACAGAATTACACCAAAATAATTATATTCAAGAATCATGAGTGTTATTGCTTACATGTATTTATAATTGGGAATATTTTTATTGAGGTAAATTCTTCAGTAGAGTAGAAGGGGTGAGAAACGAGATATTCTTTTAATGTTGGTGTAAACACTTTTATATCATGATTCAGACATTTGATTGCGGGAGGAAGGTTATTGAATTGTTAATTCCAATACAGTAAACTCCTTTTTGTATTTACTAAGTTAGTGGTTGGCACACGTAGGTTATATCCGTATCTTGTGCTTCTGTTGTATATATCTGAATTTGAAAACTGTCCAAAGTAAGTAAGAATAATGAAAGAAAGCATTCACTAGCCATCAAAAGTATATTTAATTTCTTACATAATTCCCTACAAGAGACTGTCTTTTTAATGCCTGCAGTACAAAATGATTCCATATGACATGATGGAATGGAAGTAAGCAAAGTAAAAAATTTTGAAGTTTCTGTTTACATGAATGATGTGACTGTCCTGATAGCAGAGGTGAATTTACGTGAGGGTTAATATATTGCATTTTTTCTTCTCCCAGTTTAAGTTACCGTTGATTAAAAGGCCAAGGAATTCAGTTGTTTTATTGTCATACCCTGTATTTAGATTATCACAAGTTTTGCTCTTAGTACAGATTTTCATGATATATGTTTTATCAAAAGTCAGTATAAGTTTATTGGCTTTCAGCTGTTTGCTCAAGCTATCAAAGGTATCATTAATGCAATTTTCAAAGTAGTCAATTTCTGGATGTGAAACGAAAATAGTATCATTAAAGAATATGGGTCTAGACTGCAAGTTGACGGTTCTGGGCGGGTCGTTGATATACTTGAGAAAAAGCAGAGGACCAAGTACTGAACCTCAAAGAACTTAATACTTTGTACCTCCCCAGAGTGAGCAGGTTTCATAATTTGAGTTAGATGGTAACGTTACTTTTTGGTTGGTGCATGATGGTGTTATTTAAGCCACTGTTCAGTGGTACCTCAAACTCCATAGAAACTTAGTTTTTATAATAGTATTCCATGATTTTCCCAATGAAATGCTTTAGCAAGATCACAATATATTTCACCAACATGCATTTTATTATTAAAAGCATATAAAATTATTCTCTGAAATTGAATAGTGCTGGATCCATTGAGAGATTCTTCTAAATGAAAACTGTTCGTTGCAAGGACGCTGTTTGAGACCAAGAAATCACATATTCTCATATACTTAACTTTCAAAGATGTTTTAGAGAATATTGTTAGTAATGAAACTGGTCTGTATTTGACTTTTCACGTTTTTATGCAGCGATTTTACTTTTGAACACTTAAATCATTCTGGGAAAACTCCTACTGCCATTGATTGATTGCAAAGAGAACTTAACAGGCTGCTAATGTAGTCTGTCTTGCTTTTGGGTAATTTTGTTGATGTTCCATCATAACCATATTAATTTTTTTATTTGGGAGATTTTATAACGATTTTAATTTCATTGCTGTTGTGATTTGAGGAGTTTTTAGGGATTGCTTCAGCTAGGTATTTTGTTGCGTCTTCTGTTATCTTTTGAGTGTCGTTCATTATTTCTGTAATTGTTAAAAGGAGTGAGTATGAAAGATTTTGCTACGAGTTGGGATTTTTTATTATATTTTCGAACCCCGGTCGTGAAGCCCGTCGCTATATTGAGTAAGCTATTCCGGCTTCTATGGTAGGAGTAGTGCAATAACAGAAGATGGTTTTTGACTGTGGAATCATTCGTCATTTACATGGAATCGTGGTTTTGTTGTACGTACTCAGGTGGCAGCATTGTGTTCGGAATTGTGCAGTTTGAGGGATGAAGACATGCCTTACTTCACTGTTTTAACAGGGAAAGAAGGGAACGAAGTAAAGGCAAGGGAAGGAATGATTCCCTGTTAAACTTCGGCGGTCCTCTTCGCTTTTTACCACGGAAACGGAAGTGAAGATGTGAACTGATCCGCGACATTGCCAGTGCCATCTTCGGTTGTGACAGTTGTGAGATTTTTGGTTTTGAAAAAATGGGAGTTGTTGGTCAAGCAACAAATTACCAAATGATAAAAGGTAACATTGTGAACTTGAGTTGGTTGTTGTAGCAATAACTCTCTAGTCTTGTATTAGAGTGATGCTCTGTTCGATACCCGGTTTGGATACAAACTATTCTGACCGAGGTTTCTAGTTGTTTCCCTCAGGCCATCTAAGCAATTGTCGGGATAATAATTCGATTAGATCAGGACCGTTTCCTTCCAAATTTTTCCAATTCGTTATTCGTTAATCATCCTACCATTCGACTCTATATAGCCCGTTATACTAACAGCATAATAAAATAAGTTATAAAAATGCACTGAACTACGGAAAAGGAAGTGATTAGGGACAGAGTGCAAGGAAGAAACCTCAAGGATGAATAATATTTCGATCGAGAATTCAGAAAAAAAAAGCCTTTTGATTGAGGAAAACTGTGTATTTACAGAAATGTACTGAACAGTTCAATTTACCGTTAATTCGTCTGACTATTATTCGGAAGGAACTTGGTTTGACTATTCCTCATGTTTCATAGCAGTGTCTTCAGCGATTTTCCTTTGACTGCCCAATCACTGCTTTCGTTTGGTCTCGCTTGCTGTGCTAGCCCAAGTTGTCAAACACTCCAGGAAAGCGCCGAATGGAATTGCCATACAGGCGAGGAAGGGCCATTATGCTATTTTATTTTCTTGGTGGTCCTGCGATGCAGGCTTGAAATCCTTTTAGCTTAGCTTCATCGGCTTGTTTTCAGTATTAATGAATGTAGATATTCTATAATATTTCATTTCATCTATACACATACAAGCACGTGTACCCGACCGAAATAACAGAACATTCGGCGTGAGACGGGTATCTCCAGCTGAAAAAAAGAAGTGATTTATTAGTTTGAGAATATTGTTTTTTTTTTACATTACATTACATTGCGTTGCATTCCAGGGATCAAAAGTTAGTCAAAATAACTGTAGGACGTGGAATATGTCATATAAACACAAAACATATGTACAGTACCGATGGAGTTCTCACACATGAGAAACAAAGAATACACAGTGGCTACACACAAGGCTGTTTAAAGATACATAAGTTATTTTCTAGACAATAGGTGTTCATCAACAGAATAGAATGAATGTATATTTAAGTATTGTTTCAGTGTTATTTTAAATCGTGCTTTTTCATTCATAAGACCTTTGAGATCAGAAGGCAGGTTATTAAAAATTTTGATCCCAGCATAATATGAGTTTTTCTGAAAGCATGAGAGGTTAGCGATTGGTCTATGAAGACAGTGTTTAAACAGATCATATCAACGGCAAAATTTTCCCACATAACTTCAAAGATTCGCACCGTCGCCATACTTCTACTTGCTGACTTCATAGGTACCTCTCTGTCTGATATGTACATATCTAATTTTCCATCCCTGGCTCCAATGGTTTATTGGTTATTTAAAGACGCTGTCAGTATTGGTGTTACATAGCGTCGGGGTTGGATGATTAATGAATATGGAACGGTTGGTGAAATGAGAGCTGGCAGACGAAATCGAAGTACTNTATATATATATATATGTGTGTGTGTGTGTGTGTGTGATCTCATTAATGACTTGAGCTGAAACTTTTTAATATTTTCTGTAATGAATTTTCATTATTTGGTTGATATTAGATCGGCGACTTACATGAAGATCCCTTTTATGTTTACGGGATGTTGATGTCCCCATGATCGAGTCGTTATGTTCTGACAGTGACCCTTTAAAATTTCTAAAACGTATTTTCACTGTGCCTATACCGTACCATAGAAAATCTTTCTTCACAGTAAATTAACAAAGACGTTCCAATTTATTTTATTTTTAAACTATGTCAGTCACTGGAAAGCATTCTACACATTCATACACCGCCATGACCTTACTGAACAATTCCTGAAGTGGAATCAATGTGATGTCGCGCATGCGTAGATCTGTTACGTACGAAATAGCAGTCGTGAAGGAGAACTGCATGTACACTGCGTTTTCTGGACAGCACTGCGGTAAATACTCCTGCAATCGTGTGTAAAGTAGCCGAGGAATTGGTGTTGTATACGACTTAGCTCTTCAGTTGACATTTAAATCGAATCCCGACATTAAGCATCATGTTTGGAGGTTTCGGTGGAGGTATGTATTCGATTTTACTAATGTCACGCGACAATATTATTGATTCATCTTCTGTCGGTGACGGCAACTTAAAGATGCTTACCATAGCAGTGTTTTAAATTTATATTTAACCTACTGCCAATGAAGCCATAGAGAGAAATACTTATAACTACTAATTAACCAATTAGAATACGAAAAGCCCGCCATTGTGTACGAGCCTGAGCCACTTCATCCAAATCCTACCCTCAGACTGTCTTTCTCTAAGGTCCGTTTAATATTACCCTCCCGTTTCTTTTTCGAATTTCCAGGCAGAAACTTTCTTAACCAAAATGCATTTATCTCCTCGATCCGACCTACATGTGAGGATTATCACGAACACCTTAGTGCCACTGTCCTTTCTTGCAAACTAAGAATCACGTTTCACAGAAATTAAAACAGCGGGCGAAACTATATATATTTATGTCTTAATTTTTAGAGTTTTGACAATAAAACGACTGTTGTTATTCATTTTCAAAATGTGTCGGACGCGTTTTGAATGTATTCTTCTCTCATTCCTATCTGTAAATGTTTCAGTTTTTTTAAAATTTAAAATGGTTTATTATCTACAATTATTATGACCGAGATTTCGATTTGTTAGTTAGCCTATTAAAAGTGTTTCTACCAAAATACTAAAATAGGAACCTTCACAATTTAGCACACATTTAGCACACACGTTTGGATTGTTATATGAACTGAATGTTTCTCTGTTGCTTTACGTCTTGTGTCGAAATGCCATGTGGGAGCCCACACTGAGGTGAGTGTCGTTGTAAAATAATCTTGTGAAAAGTAAGGATAAATTTCGGGCTTAAATATCAGGATATTTTAGTCACAAATGAAAAAAAAACGGCGTAAAGGCATTGCCCTACTTACTCCTATGCAGCTGACATTGGCCGCGTTACCTTGGCAACGAATTCGATTGGTGGCACAGTAGACAATTTTTTATTACCGAATATCGAACAACAATGAAATCTGGTCGACCAGTAAATCGAGTTTTTCGACAAAATCGGCATTTCATATTCGGGCCACAAGGCCACGTATTGATATTTTCCCTAAGATACCACATATGCACTTTTATTTATGGAGACTGCCTCCATATGTTACTGAAATTTATTGAAAATAGCTAGATTATTCTAGCCATAAATTACTGAAATTTAATTGAAGTAGTTGCAGTCTTTTAAAAAAAATCGCGTATGTTTCTTGGGACTCATCTGGAAGGCCCTGTTCTTGGACCTAGAATGCCCATACCCAATGCTCACCGACCTATGATGGATAAACAGTTAGATACAAATCCTACCAACCACCAAGAAACTAGCAAGGCGCACATACGTGCAGGGAGAAGACATTTCAAAAACCATTTCTTCGCATCCAAGTTGGCTCAAAACCTATAAGCTTGTCAAAATCTCGAGGTGGATAATGTCATGACCACGGTATTCTCTCATGCCATAGATACGAGAGAGGCTGGGGCACACAAGCGCACAAAATGCGTCCGTTGTAACGAACGTCGTGACGTCCGTTGTGGAAATAAACAAGAGTGAACAAGAGAGGCGAATGCTACGCTTTCTTCTGGCTCCATTGCAGACAAAAAACTACGCACCGCATTCTGCAACTGTGTGGTGTCCTCAGTAACGTCTGTCATAAAGTACGTTCTTTACAACGGACGCATTTTGTGTGCTCGTGTGGCACCAGCCTAAGGCATTGCACATACTGTCTAATATACGACTGACCTTGATTGCGTTATCTTGGAAACGAAGTTGGTTGATGTTCGGTAGACCGTAGTTAGTTACTAATACTGCAAAACAATTAAATCCTTCCGACTGGTAAAGCAAGTTTAGCCAATGTAAGGGAAACGTCGGTTAACACCACTTATACACGGTACCAAATCCCAAAAGACTGCTTTCTTCAAGTTTAGCCAAAATCGACGTTCCGCATTTGGGACCCAAGCGCGCTTACTGCTATGTCCTGAAAACTCCACTTATACATTTTTATTTAGAGAGATGATCTCCGTAAATTATTGTATGCTTAATGGCAAATTTCGATTTGAGCTTAATGTGAAGTTGGAGTTATTTATATATGTGTGTGTGTGTATCACACATGTTCGACATATATGGACCAGTATTATAAAATATTTCCCACAAATTTTAGTGTAGACTGCCATATATCAGAGGCCTTTGAGTAATTGCAGGATTCAACACGGAAATGGAGAGACTCGGCCTCGCAATTATGCATTTTGTGAAAGGGGCGGACAAAGTAAATAAAACAAATCCCTACAATTGCGAACCATGTAAAGAATTAACAATTTCAGACGCTGATGCAATTTACACACTTTTAAAATCCATCTGTAGAATGAAAGGAACTTTGATTCCTCGCCAGCCTGATACTGGGAACTATTTTTAATACGCATCATGCCGCAGTGTGAGGTTATACAAGGACGATGATGACAGAAGTTAGGTATGCAGGCGCTCACACGGGATAGTTGTAATGGCGATATCCTGGTCATTAACACAGAACTGTCAACCAGTATTTATTTCATAGTCGTCCTCAAACTTTATACGAAGATATGAGAGGACAGGATATTTATTGAATTATTTTGTAATGTATTTACAATTTTACTTTAATTGTATTCACTTCGCTATTCAGCTAATAGAAATGACGTTTATTCGTGAATTCCATTTTCTTCAACTCTTCACTCTTTCGCGTATTTGGATTTTCCATGTATTTTTTTAAGGATAAAACTTGCAATGCCGTATTAGCTACACTTTGTTTCCATTTCATTTTATAAGTATGACCGCTTTCCACGTTAGGCTAATTGTGTTTTCAGTTAAGTTTTACACTGTTGCACTTTGATTTTTGCTGTTAAGGCATCTTGTAGTATCTCCATGGCTTGTAAATTCCTCTCCTGTTAAATCCATGGTCATTGCAGATGTGTGTCCATACCTACTGGTAGTAATGTTGTTCAATTTTTTGTTAAACATTCTAATTCCCTCTTTAATAATTGATGATTCAATCAGGTCGTACCTGTGAGGAACCCCCATGGATATAATATTAGTGTGTCGATTTTCCAACAAATAGTGATGTATATGCTTGATTCCATTTGATGTGTTACTTTGAGTAATGTCATTTGCTCCTCCCCAATATATAAGTGTATCGTGTGTAGTTAATCCACTTCTTCCATTCTGTCTGTTTTTGTTTCACCGTTGATGTTTGATTACTTAATTGAAAACTATTCCTTATTTTTTGGTATCGTCTGTACCTTATTTTTGCGAGGGGGACGCGGTAGTGTGGTTGGTTGAGGCACTATGCTACAAGCCGGAAGGTCGCGGGTTCAAGTCCCAGTGAGGTCATTGGATTTTTTCAATTGGCCTAATCCTTCCGGCCCTGGGGTCGACTCAGCCTCTAACAGAAATGAGTACCAGGAATTAATTAAATAATTTTCCTGGGGAGTAAAGCGCGGCCGGCACGTAAAGCTGACAAACTTACCGCCATCTTTCAGCCGATTGTCTAGATAATGTGGGACCTTCAACGTCTCACAACCTTTTGGGTCTTCACGGCCTGGTACAGGGATAGCTTTACTTACTTACTGTACCTTATTTTCATAGCGTCAGTGGTTGATACGCTAACGGTGGTACTTTGTATTAAATCGCAACTCCTGTTCTTAGTCCCAGCAACTGTTTCAGGCGATTTAGGCCGTAAAATATTCAGTCTCTCACAATTTGTCTTCATCACTCTTGCTTCCTGAGTAAGTTTCATTATGAATTCGTTCATAACCTCTTTCACGTGAGGACACACGGGCCATGTAGGTTAATTCATACAGTTCTTCTAAATCCAGCTCAACTTCCAAATTCTGTCATTACTTACTACATTGTTAAAGATAGCTTAGCCGATATAGCGACTGACTACGGACTGGACGACAGAGGGATCGGAGTTGTAGTCCCGGCAGGGTCAAGAATTTTCTCCAAGTCGTCCAAACTTGGCTCTGAGATCCACCCAACCTCCTATTCAATGTGTGGCGGGTGCTCTTTCGCCGGCGGTAAAGCGGCGAGGGCGTGAAGCTGGCCACTCACCTCCAACTTGTGCCGAGATCAAGCAAATGTGGATGTATACATCCACTCCCCCATACGCCTTCGTGGAGAAGTGCTTAGTTAGTTAAGCACGGGGTCAACTTCATTATATAATGTATTTACTTTTGAGGTTATGCACACATTGTTGTTTGACTTTCTCGCAAACACCAATAACCCTAACCTTCTTTCATTAAAAATAAAACAATTATAGGCCCAAATAAATAAATTATCCGGTCAGAATTCCTGTTCCCTGTTTGGGATATACCAAGTCCGAAAGTAGGCCAGGTTAACACTTGTCCTGATCGCTATTTTCGTATTTTTGTCAGCCCCTTCATAAGATGTTTAGAGCGTTTTGCCCTTTGAATCTTTAGTTCGTAAAAATAATATTTAAATTCTAATTTGTCTCAGAAAACACCGTAATCCATTACAAATATCAGTTAGTGTTTAATAGAGAAATAAGAGCTCTACATTCTAAGAATCGTATGAAACTTACAAATCCGGGTTATGGGCAGAATTTTCAGGCTTTTTGTGTTATACTATGTCATATATACTGTAGTTACCATTATACTCTAAGTGCCAAAATAGGACACAGTTCTGCTAAATCACAGCTCATATTAATCGTGTCCTCTTTTCGTGCTTCATGATCTATGTAGTCACCACAGGGTCGAAGTAAATAATTAATCTTTAATATCTCTAGTACGTAATACTACTGAGGGTGTTTGAGAACAGGGTGTTGAGAATATTTGGACCGAAGAGAGATAAAGTGACAGGAGGTTGGAGAAAACTGCATAATGAGGAGCTTCATAACTTCTACTCTTCTCCAAGTATACTTAGAATGATCAAGTCAAGGAGGATGAGGTGGGCAGGTCATGTAGCACGAATGGGGGAGACGAGGAATGCGTATAGGATATTGGTGGGAAAGTC